CAGCTTTCTGAAAAGTCACTTTTCCCTAGTTTATCAAACACTTTTCTATACAGAATATCAGGCAGCTAGATCTGAGATTCAGATGATTTGGCATTAAATTATCCAACTTTGCCTCCATCCTGAATAGGGATTGTTTTGATTGGTTTTCTTCTCTTTGCTCTGTGTTCAATACCATCCTTGTTATGGAAAATTGAAAGAAACAAGTGGTTTTTGGCTAGTGACTATTGCAGCTTTAATTCTACCCTATTTGCACTGCATGACAGTCCCAAGTCTCTGACTAAAGCATCATGTTCCCATATATAACACAACCTGAAAAAATGACAATATAAAATTTAATATTTCAACTAAGCAGCAGAAAATACACTACTCACAGAACCTAAAGTGTAATTATTTTGCAAACAAATAAAAGTACAGTGCCAAATTCAAAAATTGTGTCTAATTTTATAAGAACAGAAGTAGAAATCTACAAGGCACTGGCAGGACTAGAGCCTGTTGTTACTGCAGGGGAAAGTAAAGTTAGTGTGGCAGTAATTTAGAATGTAGAACTCAAAAATAAGTTTCTTACACTGTTTTATTAAAATCTAACAAGCAAGAAGGACAAGTAAAAAAGCAAATAAGGAAATTGGATAATGATTAAGTGATCTTAACAACCAGTGGTGAATCCCCTGATTTAATTAATTTCTTGCCTAAAGTACTACTATTTTTTTCTTTGATCTTATATAATTGTATTACAGAATGTTCCTTGGTTAGACCAGATTCCATGTAGTAAGTCTTTTATTTCTAACTTTATCAATTGTTGCATTATATAATTTGTAAACTGCTTTCCTTTGATACTTTCCTTGAGTGTTTTTTTTTCTTTTAAACTCTTATCTACATTGAAAAGTTATTCAAAACGTAAATTAAAGCAAGTGGTCTTGTTTTGTTAATATTTTTAATATATTTGTTAATAGAACTGGTTTCAGGAAAAAAAAGAGTATCAATATAGCTAGGTGATATTTCTTACTTAATACAGAGAATGCTCTATATAAAATAAGTATATTAATTGTAGGTAATAAGAATAATTTTTGAAAATGTACAATCAAAATATTCTAGCCACACCAATCCCAAAATGCTTAACTCCAGACATCCAGCAATTCAATGGGACTGACATTGTCAGCCTATTAATCCCTTCTGTACAGACCCCGAGAAAATCCTCCAGGATTAGAAATGCTGTTATCAGTGCTGACTCCATTCGAATGCAGGCAAAGTCCAACTGTTTCCAAGTCTACATCTTAAACCTGTTTAAAAGCTTACTCCTCTCACAGTTTCAAAACAGATAATGATTCTTCTCTTCAAATGGACTTCCTGATGGAAAGAATCAAGCTTAAACTGAAAATACAGTTTTGGGGTTTTTTTTAAATTAAAAAAAAAATCAAAATGTCCTCTTAGTTTCATTTTGCCTATTTATGAATGAGAAATGAACACAAGGCTTTTAAAAAGAGTAAACAACTAGTTGGTAATGGTGACATTACTGTAGTCTCATCTGTACCATTTGAGCACAGGAGTACTGCCCTACTCGTGAAGGAATTCTTTCACTGTACAGCTCTGTCACTCAGTGTTAAATACTCAAAGAATTACACTCGGGAATTTAAAGAGGTTGTTGAGGAGGGTCATCTATTAGGATGACAAACTGGAAGTGCTAAAATTATCTAGCTTACAAAAAAAAAAGTGAAGAGGTAATTTGATTGCATCCTGAAAATACCTAAATGAAAGACCTGCTCTCCTATCTAATAGATAAAAATATATCAAGATCAAAGGACTGGAAGCTTGTGCCAGACAAACGTAGACTACAAATAAAATGACTTTTTTTTTCCTGCAGCAATGAGAATAATTAACTGCTGGACAATTTATTACAGGTTGTGGGGACATCAATTAAATTTTTAAAACTCAAATGGTCTTATGAAATGAGCAAATATGAATTTATCTAGAAAACATATTGGTCTAGTTCAGTAGAAATCAGATTAAATGATGCCAGTAGTCAGTTACAGGATTTGAATCTATTAAAAGAGATCCATGCTTTCTCTAATCAGGAATAAGAAACCTATATTTTTTTCACCTTGGCTTTTAATGCTTTAAGTAGAGTCTCTATGGAAAACTAACATGAGACTGGAGACCATGAATTTCACTGGATGCATATATTGTAAATAATCTTGTATCTATCTATCTTGAAAATCCTGTAACAACCCAGGAAGCACTTAGGATACTAAATGTAGTAATTTGCCTCTTCACAGGGCAATGCTAAATGCTTCATATGAAATAAATTGAACAGAATGATACACTAGAGAAATAAACACTCCACTTCTTGCAGCTCCAGAACAAGGTAAAAGGAAAACACGAGCCATCACAACTGGCTGTAAATCAATACAAACTTCTGCTGCAACTTTATTTTGGGGGGGGGAATGAAAGTGTGGCATCTGACTTTGAAAAAGTGGATAAAATATTGAATAAAAGTTTTGCAAACAGAAACAAGAATTTAACCTCCAGTCCAGAAACCAAACTAATGGTAGAAATTGCACTACCAAATACCAGGCAAGAAAAACAGCTGGAGAACACTGTAGAGAAGCGAGGAGTACAAAGAAGCCGTCACACTTTGGTTAGGTAGAATTTCAAACCGCTTTGTTTTTCTCTCTTTTACAATTTTATTTCTACTAGTACTTGCTTTTGCTAAGCTGTGGAGTAAGAGGCTGATATGAGGAAGTGTTGGGTTCTAGTGAGGACTCTGTGCAGGCACAAATCCATGCTCCTCTACTTGGTGAGCAACAGGTTACAGCTCTGGAATACCTGTAAGACCACCACAAATACGCAAGCCTTTCTTTTGTAAGGTTACTCAACTGCTCCCCTTGGTTTTTAATTTCAAATGGGTTACACCTCATTTTACAAGCTGGTCTTGCTAGTATTAAAATATAGATTACATGGAAATTTAATGAGCTGTTGCCTTTGAATTATTCTAGTTCACTAATGGAAATAATGGTAATTATAAGCATGATATTGACCATCACAACTTGTGATAACTTGGGTGAAGAAGGAACACAGCCAACTGTAGTTTGCAGTAAGATGTAGTAGAAGTGACTTAAAGGTCACACTTGAAGATCAAAGGGATACTTAAAACATTAAAACTTCAAATTTGTGAGGGGAAGAAGGTTGGACATATACCTCTGAAACATGCAAACACTCAACATTACTGTCTGACTTTCCAAAGTCACAGTGAAGACAGAATGAGACTTCCCTAGACATTTCAAAGGAAGAATAAATTTCCAAATGAAACAGCTTGCCATTTATCTCTTCATTTATCTCCTCTCTTAGCTTGTTATAAACTTCCAAATGAATAATTAATAGTGTGGGGTTTTTTTAGAAAAAGGTCTTTTATGACACTTGACTCAGCTGTTGGTACTGTGCCCTTCGCTGGAAAGGGACTGCAAGTATCAGCCACCTTGGGCCTCTTGCAATAACACAGATGGAAAGAGTTGCTATCCAGAAAGCCAATTCTTGAGTAGTTGAATGAGGGGATTTCACCTCTGGGAATAAAGATTAAATCAGGTCTGTCACTTGAAGAGTATGTTTGATGGAGGAAGCCAGTTTAATGCATATTTCAACTTGTAACTATGACGACTCATAGAGCCTCTCTAATATAGATAAGAGCTGCATGTTGCATTAACATTTTAAGTGTAAATGAATGTTATACTTCTCTTCAAGAAAAAATATTTGCTCTCTAATCATAAGATTTTAATAGTCAGATTTTCCTATTTCTACCTCACACAAATGACAGAAAGAGATTCCTTAATTTTGCTGCTGCTGTGTTTGGAGATAGGTTTCAGCGAGACAAATTCAAATTGATACATTATAAGCACTTTAGAGAGTTATCATTGTAATTGTCACAATGCCACTCATGCCTAATAAGTAATAAGTACAAGTGTTCCTTTCACCTGTAGTTCCAGCAACATTGCTGTCACTCTTCTGCAACATACAATTTTTTATTCTTTTTAATTTTTTTTTTAAAGGACAGTCCCTATGACTTAAGATAATACAGGGACAAAGTTTGATCGTATTTTTTGCAGTAGTTTTCAGCACTAGAACTAACATGTTAGAAGGCAGTAGCTTGTGTCATCACAAAATAGAAAGAAAAATAAAATAATTCAACCCTGGATGAGGTTCTGATAAGTTTTTAGATAGGTTCTCTGATATAGCTCAATTAAAAAATAATTTAATCTAAAAAAAATATTAACTCCTCATAACTCCTCACTGAAGTCATGTGTGTTTTAAGTCAGGATACAATTCTATCAATGCTGCAGAACTATATTTTCCCACATTCCTACATAAAACAAAATGTAGTTTTATATACACAGTTACACAACACAGCATACAGCTGTGAAAGAAATGCAATGGCAGATGCATTTAAATGTATGCAAATCATGTACTACAATACCTTGGGCCCAGCATACACTTGTGCATACACAGGCTTATGTGATTTTAAACAGATCAATAGTTTCACTAACTTTATAAAACTGCTCATCTGTTTAAGCATAAAGTTGCTTGCAAGAATACACAAAAGCAAAACCTACAGATTTCTATCAGCACTTTATTAATCTTTATGATTTTTCCCCCAATAGATTTAGAATATATGCCGTTACAGCACTTCTGCATTTTTAATCTGAATCCTGTATTAAACAGAATGCAAAATGCTGTTTAAGTGAAAAAGTTCAACTAGCTGGCATACCCATAACGAGAATTCAAAGAACTTCAATGAAATATTCTGGGAGTTCCTTATACAAAGAGTATGATGAACAGCAACTGAGCAAAATATAAATTTGGCTTAATTCTTCCAGGCTGGGTTCTGACTCAACTTGTGTCTTTGCTTTTAAATAATAATCTAGTCTGGCAAAGTTACCTTCTAAGAAGAATTATTACCTTTTTAGCAGTGGAAATAGGCAAAGCCTACAGAGCAGAATTTCCAAAACACTTACCACAGTTTGGTGGTTGACCTGGATCACCTCATCACCAGCATGGATTTTCTTACACTGGTCAGCAGGAGACTAAGGACAAGAGATAATAATTAACTTTACATGGGAGGGGTGGAGAGGGTGGGGGAGAGCAGGAGTTAAAACAATGAATGTTGAAGGAGGCAAGAAAGCTGTGCTCAAGGAAATATTATTGTTATCAATAACAAAAATTGGTCATATTTATAAAAACTGTATTTATAAGGAACTATGTTTTTTCTGGTTACAGATGGCAAATCAATGAAGTAGTCTAGAATCCCACTGCCACTGGTGATGAACAGCCTTTCTGACTGGCTGAACTACTCCAGCTTCTTTACCTTTCTGTGAGGAGTATGCACAGTCACAGTCTTGCTGGGAAGATGCCGAGTAAATTTGCAACACTTAGAGGTAAATCTATTAAGTCAACAAATACCGAGCTTACTGCATGGTCAGTGGCAGGGCAGGACATGTAACAGAAAAGCAGGTCTCATTGCCCTTTATATAGCTGCTTTACTGCTTCAGTGCATTGAAGGTGAACATGGTCAACTGCTATTTAGCAAACCATTCTTAAACGTTTAAATGAAACCAGACCTTAAATCTGTAAGGCACGCAAGAGATCAGCAGTCATACCAATGAGAACACATGAGAATTGATGGCAACTTACTTGGATTGTTCACTAACTTACAAGAGTGTTCTACTGACACAGAGTACACCAACAACAATCAAGAGAAAATGACCAGAAAAGAATTAAAGAGCTGAGACATCACCTTGAGAAATAAATCACAGTGGAAGTTCACTATTAAGGAAATACACCAGCCAGAAGACTTGGACAAGTTTGAACGTTTACTCTGCTTGTTAGATACGGAGCCAGGGAGAGGAGCAGACCCATCTCAAACAATGCAGAAATGTTTAAAGCAAAATACTCTTCTAGCAACAGTTCAGGTTCCCTGGCCAAGTAAGCAGACTGCTAAGAAAGGCAGAAAAATGGGCCACTTGCAGCTACAGGGCATGGTCTAGGACTAATACTGTTGAAGAAGTTCATCACGGAAAAGGAGTTAGGTTATCAACTTAGTTCAGTTCCTGAATTCTTTTGGAGCCAGCCCATAAGATAAATTGCCCACGGCACAAGAGCTGGGTACGAATGCAAAGGAAGAAAAGGTTTATCCAAACTAAAGATAATTTGTAGACACTTATATTGATGACTTCACTGCATACCAATCAATACTTCCAGGAAACAGTCAAGAACTCCTCAGCTGTTCAGACTTTACCAACCACAAATCCCACCCATTATCTCCATCCCTTTTGTGGAACGAGATTAAAAACATAAGATATACAAATTAAAGGAACAAGGACAAGAGGAAACAATACAACAAAAACCCCATATTGCCACTGGCAAGAAAATGACTGCAATTATTTCTGAATAGACTGTCAAAGAGACTTAGCTATGAGGAGGTCAAATCACTCCCTGATAGTCGGCACCTGCTGACTAATCAATAGAGTCTGCAGACTACACAGCTGCTGCAGAGCAGTAGGAGACATCATTAGCTATTCAGGCAGTAAGAAAAAACAAGCCCACAGTGCAAATAGCCAACGTTTGACACAGTGATTCCAAGCGTGTTATAGGTGCTATTCCAAGCATAGCTTTTACCTTCAGCCTACTGCTTGCTTATCATTCCTAACCTTGCTCTCCTCAACCTCCCCAACACAAGCTACCTTCCAACTCCTCACCTGCTTGATCTCTGTCGTTCTTTCGTAAGGGCTCCTGTGTCTCCTGTAGTGGGGAATCCAACCCTGGAGCTAAACTACCTGGTCATTACAGCCAGATATCAACTCCTGCCATCTGAGTCCTTCTGCACTAAAGTAAATAGGATTTTACCTACGTACTTTATAGGATGGTGAGAAGAACTACCCAGCTCCAGTGTCTCCTTTCTCCTTCAAGTGGAAACTTGAAGAATTTTGGTAGACTACCCTTTTGCAGGACTAAATGTGTAACAAAAAGATGTTTCTAGAATTAAATGTGAATACAAACTTAATTGCTTTAAACAGTGAATGAAAGGTAGGGAGGAACCTGAAGTAAACACCACCATTCACAATGTTAAACTTCAGTTGACGTTGGAAAATCAAAGGCCCAGTTCTTTCTCTTTTTAGCTCCTTTCTTGACTTTGATGAGGCTGAGCTAATTATTATCTTTTAAAATTAAACACTGGCTCTGAGGTCAATTATCCCTTCAAAAGGACTGAAAAATAAATTTGCTGAAATGCCAGAAATTAAAGGTCTTTGAAGCTGGTTTATCTGTACATATGATTACACTTTTAGCAAAAACAAAAAAGCAACTTCTTATGGTGGTGTCTTAGCAAAAAATTTTGACATCTACAGTTTATTCAAAATAAAATTTAGTGGCTGGCAATTTAGTAACTCCTTCAGTGAATTTCAATTATAAATATATAAATATTGTCCCTACAAAGTGCATTATATTTCTAAAATGAATCAAAATTACAGTAAAACAATGCATTAATTATAGCATAAGCAATTCAGCCTATGAACAAAATCTGTTGCAACACAATCAAGATGGATCATTCGTAAGTTGCAGGACCCAAGATACACATAGAGTTATTTTAAGACATCTGAATGCTGCCAATGGTATCAGTATAAACAAGCAAACAAATTTTAAGTTTAATTTGCATTAGACCTGTCTTCACAGATTGTGACACACAAATCAGCAGGCTTTCCAGGGGTTTGCACTGTCCAGATCCTGTGTGATGCAACACTATCTCAACAGATAAAAATCAAGTAGAACAAAGAAGCACATCTGAAGCTCACCCATATGGGCCAGCATACCATTGATGTATGCCAGCAAGCACTTACATCTCTGGCTAGCTGCACACTGCTAATTTTATGTTCCTTGGGTGTCAGCATTACATGATTTCAATATTAGCATTATAAAATCTAAACCTGTCATTTACCCAGCTTACATGCTGTTAAACAGCTCCAAGACTGAATGAAAACAGTGTGACTAAAACACGATGTGAAAAACAGAAGGGATGGGTCCTATGAAGAATTCTGTCATAGTCATCAGATTGCAGCAGTTGAAGTCATTTATTTTTTTCAAATTTATAACTATGAATTGCAAGTTAAGTATCAAGAAGGATATTTAGAAGCTACTTCATTATTCTTGTCACAGTGTTTAGTTTTTCTCTGATCAGTCACACTGATTTATGTGCTGCAGCATTCTCTGTGCTTTTGGCTCAAATTTGGTTTACACTTCTGGGACTACAATGAAAATGATAATTAATACATTTTTCTTGGTCTCTTCTGTATTTTTACTACAGATGATGGAAAATATGAAAATACAATTGTGCTTAACTCATAATACAATTCTTTCAGGAATGGTTATTTTCATAAAATAACTGTCTATACATCCTCACACAGTAGTCATTTGGACTGTTAACTAACTTGGTATTTTAACATTGTCAAATCGTCCATCCTCTTCTCTTCATGTACCAAAATGTTTTCTTCTTTCCACAATTTCTCCCTTCTTAGTGATAGTCCTCTCAGTAATTACTGCTAGCTTTGAAAAATTTCTGGTTTATTGAAGATTATTCTGTAACCTATCTGATATCGAACATAATATCTAAAGTTACCTTTTTTCATTTTTCTGTGATATATGCACAGAAAACATAAAGAAAAAAGTATTAATAAAAAGTGGCTTGATTTAAAGCAAGTATTCATATAACAAAATGCACTGCAGATATACAGAATACACTTGTGTGCCTGATGAAAGTCTTTTAGAATAAAGAATCTTACGTTTTCAGTTGTTCCTGTGATTACATGTAGTCCATCATATGTTGATTTGATATACATTCCCTGAAAAAAGAGCAAGAAAAGTAATTAATATTTGTAGGAAGCTAATAAATGATGTTTGCATGATATTAAAATAGTATATTTATTCCAGTTTAAGGACCATAACATTTGAACAGACTGGAAGCAACCATGGTCAATTAACATTTGCAAATCTAAGTTAAACAAATATGTATCAAGATCCATTATAAACAGCATAGTTTTCTCATTTAATGCTTTTTTTAATTCCAAACAAAGTTTTTTTGACAGAATTCAGTACTTAGCACCAGCATAAAAACCTGTGCCTATTCAGTATTTGAAATGTTTAACATGACCTCTTTTTATTACTAGTGACATAAAAGAAGTATCAAAACTGAAGCCGTGAACAGGAATAGGCTTTAAACTTAAACACCCCATCCTCAGAGAGTTACTGATTCAAGAAAGATTAAACCATAGCCTAACTCAGAAAAGCCATGAGCCAGTGCTGATATTGCCAGTTTATGGAGAAAAATGAGCTTGGTGAAGTAACAGGAGCTTTGTAACTAGCCCAGCAAGAATTCTGCTTCAATAAGGCAGCTGACAGGTTATAGAGAGACAACCTAAGCAGGTATCTACCTAACAGTATACACACACAGAGCCCTATGTTGGAGGGACTCAATTGCTTGCATTCTTCTCTCTCAGGATTAAGGTCATAGCTTCACATCTCTCCACATGATACAGTTATCCATCAGATTTTGAAATGTAATTAATCTAAATGGTACATTGTACTGTTGAGTCATGATTCTTTCAGTAATTCTGCATCACTTTGTGCTATCAAAACAGTAGTTTGGAACCCCCAGCAATAAGAGAAGACAGAGCCAAACTCTTCTTGAAAGTACACAGTGGGAGGATGAAAAGCAAGGGGCACAAGTTGGGGCTCAACTGAAAAAAGAATAATTTATTTTTCTTCCCCCCCCCAATTTTACCATGAGGATGTTAAAACACTGGAACAGGTTGGCAAGGCTATGGAATCTCTGACTTGGAGTTGATAAAAACTGGACTGGATGAGGCCCTGAGTAACCTGCTTTAGCTGGATCTGTTTTGATTTCTCATCATTTTGTGGATAATAAGCCTAAAAAAAATGGAAATACATTCTGAAAAATTTTCTGTCACAGAATGTAAATGTGGAATTTCCTTGAAAAATTTCTTGCTCAGTCACCTGGTTAGTTAACCAGGACATAATGACAACAGAGTATTTTTAAGTGTCAGTCACTATTCCCAGGTTAATCTGTGGATAAACAATGCAATGGAATGGAAACCTATCTTTGTCTAGGCAGAAGGAAAAGTAATTTTTAAAAAGTATTTGTAAGTATAAAAATGAACCAATTTCCTTTGTGATGCCACAACTGACAATATAAACAACTCAAAGAATTGAAAAAACTTACAGCCAGGAAAGGGATTTTTTTTAAAATCATGAAGGTGAAGTTATTTTTATTCTATGCTATTTCATAAAAATTTATGTATGTATGTTCTCTTTCTGTCAGAGCTCACAGTGTTTCTCACAGTCTAATATTTCTTTAGTACAGGAGTTTATTTCAAATTTGTCACATTGGTAGTTTGAAACAAAGTTTTGCCTTCTAGACATCTTATTCAGGCTGATCACGCAGTGCTCTTCAGATATAAATGTTATTACCGTGCCCAGTACTAAAATTCAAGAGAAAAAGTGTTTTGCAATTTTTAAATTTTAAACTTTAAAATGAAATGGAAAATATATAGAGGGTGTTTCAGTATTTGCCACTGAAAACTCAGTGGCTAAATAGGGAAAAGGAGGAAGCGATTTGACTGGTATGTGTAACTGGTACAGCTTGGGAAGGAATGGGAAGGGAGAGGAAGAAAACCAATATATTTCTGGAGGCCAGCAAATGCCTGCAGAGATCAGGATGCAAACAGGATCATCAGAACTTGGAACAGAACCTCAAATGCGTGCTTCCCAATGCAAATTCTTTTGTCCAGCAAACTGCCATGAAACTACCAGCTGAGAGGGTATTCTGGGGAATGCATGAGATAAGACTATTTTTTAATAAGGCAGACTGAAAAAGAAGATACTTTAGAGAGGAAAAAAAAAAAACAACAAAGAAAAAGACAACTATTAAGCTCATAAAAGCATGGACAGAAAATTAGAAAGCGCTAGAAGTGAAAGTACACATTCAAATGACACACAGTCCCTTTGTGAAAATGCTTTATGAGACAAAATTTATTTAAACAATTAAACAGACACTGCCCCACATGAGTCTTGACTCCATGTAGTAACTGTGTGGACTTGGAACTGGAAATGGATTCCATTTATGTATAAGCTTATGCAGTGTCTATAGCATTCCTGGTTCATTTTTTTTTAAGAAATTAGGTGTTTTCAAACTTATGCTGTAAAAGTAAGAAGTGTTTTGAAAAATTGTATGGCAAACATCCCCTAAAATAAAATTGATTTTTGGTGATATTGACACAAATTGCTCTGCCTGTTAGATTCATATCTATAAAACCAAAATTACAATATCATTTTCACAAGTGTGTTGTGAGGATGAATTAATCTGCATCTGTGAAGCACTCAGTAAGGCCATATAAAAAAATAAAATTTCACGATGAAATTATTAACTCAAGGGAATGCAGAGCTTAGCTGAAGCGTGGTAAATAAGACCTCAACCCCTACACTGAATGATAAGGATAAAAATGGAACTCTGAATACTTTCCATTCAGTGAATAGCACTCATTTTTCTCTTGAATGGAGCAGAGTTCCTGTGGAAAAAAACTGCTATACAATCATGAGAAAGCCATTTGTAATTCATTACTCTGTTCTATATTTGATTCTGATTAATGTTTTCTTTTCCCTTTCACATGATTTTTCTTTTATTCCCATTTATAGTCCTTTTTTTTTTTCATACTTTTTTCTAAACAGAACAGTCAGCAAAATTGGAACTTTCCAACCTAACATGTTACAGTGCCTTCACAATTAGGCACAGAAAACTCAGTCATTGACTGTGATGTCACTTCATCTAAAAAACCCCAAAACCAAACAAAAACCCAACAAAAAATTGACAGGCTGTTTTGATTGCAGTATTTGTCTCACATCCTCTGTCAGCAGTGCCCAGTTCCTGCAGTCTTGTTGGCTATAAACTTAGGGGTACACTGCGGATGGAGACCTACACCATGGTTCTTCCACGTTGTGATAGAGTCCAGTCTACAGCATTGCTACAGCACAGGCCCTGTCTGCTTGGTGTTCTGTTAGAAAAGAGGGTGGTCTGGAGGAAGGAGTGGACCACACGACAGGCCACAATAATACTGCCAACACATCTTGGTCACTCATGCCTTAAATCAGACTGACACCTTCTGTCCTCCAGCAGTCTACCCTCCTGTCCCAGGTATAGAGCGGTCACTGAATGGGAAACACCTGACATGCTCCATCACCTCTGAGAAAAACCCATCCTATCTGTGTTCATGTTCTCTCTGGTGCTGATAGTGAACTTTCCTCCAAGCAGACCAGCAGAAACACATTAATTACATTTCAGAATAGAAAGGAAAGCTACACAGAGATCTGGACTGCTAGCACATGGGATGCAGTAACCTTCATGCAAGTCGAAAGCACTGACAGATTTACAGGATATACACTACCCAAGCTGTAAATGTTACTGACCAGGTATTTCCTGGATACTTCTGCACCAACCTGGAAATTGGAACACGAGGGAAAACTGGGCCACAAAGGGAACACATTTGACCACTGGGATGCAGCGGCACAGCAAGCAAACTGTATCTGCCTTCAGGATGACATACTGGGCTGAGCATCTGTGATGCCACAGAATTAAACTGGAATGCGTTTTATGCTGGTGTAAGGTTCTTTGTTAACTAAATCAGTTTAATAAAGTAAACTTATTTAGTCATACAAACCCCCCTCTTGTTATTAAAAGACATCATTCTCAAATTAATATGCATATCTCAAAATAATTATGCTGTTGTAACTTTGACAAGATTTGCATACAATGTTCATCACTATTCAATATCAGAACAAAGAGTGAGAAATGTACCACGATGTGTGTACTGACATCCATATCTATTCTAATTTGTCAATTCTGTAATTTTCTGCAGGTGAGCCTCATGGCTACCAAATTATCTACCCACTTCCTCTTATTTTTCTCCTCCAACTGATTCCTCCAAGCCCAGGAACAACACTCTGGGATTCCTCCTCTTGTAGGGGAAAAAAAAAGTTAAAAAAACCCAACAACTGAACAGAGAAAGCAGCTGAAGACAGTATAAAAGATTGTACTGGGAAAAGCAGCAGGTCTCTTGAGGAGAATGTGCAAGAACATCTCAGAGCCTGCAGTGCTACCTTACACTCTTGCTTTTAGTAGGATCTTAGGTTGCCAAGCACACTCCCTGTCCTCCTATAGCCTGCCAATATCAGACTGGTTGTAAAGCATGTGGAAGGGAGACAGAAATCTTACCCACTGACCCCTGAAACATCACAAAAATCCCTTGCCCAAGAAAAGTAATCCCACATTAATACTTAAAAGTGGTAGCCAAATAATTAGTAAACTATCATAGTTTTAATGGTGTGGTCCATTAATAATGTAGAGCAGCTGGGATGTTCAGAAGACACTTCACTAGTCTGCTCATGATCCTTTTTTGAATATCAGGGATTTATTTTGTTTCTGGGATGACACTTCTGAAAGTTTTATTTGAACTAAATCATTAGGGAGGTATATAACTATTTTTATGCAAACCCAAGAAACATACCTTCCACTAATCATTTTCAAAGCACATTAATTAATGATATTTAGTTAATTCTTTTTATATATGTATGTGTGTATTTGATACATTCCAAAGACTGCACTATGGCTATGAAAGGACTATAACTTTTTGTTAGCTGCTTATATAGTCAGCAGTTGTACGTGAAGCCCTAGGTAAAAGAGGTTTCAATTTAAAAAATAATTACAATCTCTTTATTTAGATAAATAGTAATTAAACCCCTTTCATAAATCTCCTCGAGTTTATCAAAAAAGTAGAACACTGCATGAAAATACATTTTGATTTCTTGATAAACTAAAAAAAGAAATCACCCTAAAGAACTGAGGTTTGTATTCTGTATTCTAACAGTCAAACTTTAAACTGCTTTGCTACTTACCAACCCCTCACTGGGCATAATGCTGGTGAGATGAACTACCTCAAGATGTGCTGACTGTGACACCAGAGAATCAGATGAGAGCGAAATGATGTGGTCACAAATCCCAGACAAGGTTTTACACTACAAAGAAAAACAAGTCAATATAATTCCTCATATTAAACTGAAACTACTAGCGAAGAAGTTCTGCTGAGAACTAACTGAGGATAAACAGATAATTTCACTTCTTAGCATTGTAAAAAACTACAGGTATATGAAAGTCAAGAAGATGATGTTAAGGGAACAGAAAATATCCATAAATGTAAAAAAAAATGTACATGCATATATAGTTCTTCTAATCAAAATATTTTACTGTGCACTGAGAGCATCTGTACATATAAACTATCTTCTCCTCTGCAACTATATCCACTTTAAAAAAAAAAAACAACCCAAGAAACCACCTGATGAGCTTAATCTGTCATTATAATGTATCATTATTAATACAATGGAGGTTGAGTGAAATATGTAAAAATAAATGCCTTATACACCAACTTAATAACTTATTTTGTATACCAAATAATGAGAGCAACCCTGCTAACAGAGATAATAAGATGAATTCTGCTTTATAGAACTTAGAAAAACCTTTCCTTTGTTAAAAATTACACTGGCAGAAAAGTGCCTTAGTTAAAACTTTTTATGAAATAAAAGTCTTATGCATCTTTGAACCCATCCTGAAGTTCTAGATCACTGCAACAGTGTAATCATTTTATGTTATCCTGCCTTCCAGCTAAAGATCTCAAACTCTGAATGCCAACCCACAGGAACACCTTCAAAGCAAGAATCTCACTGCATAGATGGTAACAGTGAGACTGCCAGATTAAATTTACCCATCAAAGACAAACAGTGAGTCTGTGGATCAGAAAGGAGCTGACTTGCACTCTCAGAGAGTCCTTATGTGTAAAGATTTATTCCCAAGTTTGCTCAAAGCGTTCCTTCAAGAACACTACACCTAAAAATATTTGAACCTAATCTGAAAGCATTCATTGAGATGAATTTCAGAATGGTTGTCTGGTCCAAGTTGTGCTGTATGCATCTATTTTCCTTTGGGAAATAGAATACACTCATTTTCTCTAATTATAGCAAGTTCTAGTGAAATCCCTTAAGGGAAGTTTTATTTCAGACATTTGTAAAAGCATGAGGCTTTCTAATATCTCATTTGACACTATACATATAAGTTAAATAAAGTTGTCACAAGGAATAAATTAACTGACTGAATTTATAGATTATATTTCCATTCACTGTATAGTTACTCATCTGGAAATCCAAGTACAGCTCTGGAGTACTGGATGTGGCATTTGTATTTTATGTCAGCTGAGAGATGCAAAGCATCCCATTGGGGTATGTATAACTGCATCTAAAGGTCAGCTGAAATCAAATATTTATAGTAGTTTCAACTTTAGGCCAGAACCTCTAAACAAAACTTTAGGTCCTGTCTTCTCCCACCAGAGATATGGAAACTGGATTGCTCAAAACTTGTGTTGTACTGCTGTTCTACATGGGAACTGATGGTCAACCCTGTCTGTGCTTTCATCCAGCTTTTGAATTTGTCATATCAAAATATTACTATGACTTCAAACCAAAGCCCTCTCATAGACCTTAACATTTAAGATTACATGTACAGATCTGATGCAGACTAAATCCCAGAGACAATACCTGCTACTTGCTGATGTAATGTTTTAACTTTACAGTTGTCACATGCAAACACTTTTTCAGTAAATAAACGTTGGAAAGAAATAAACAGCAAACAAGTTTTCAATCAAGTTTACTCTTATGAATCTTAAAAGATCTCTCCATGATTCAGGAAATTAACTAAGATCTATGTAGGATTTTAGCACCAGGAAAATGTTAATGAAACTTATATTAGAATAATTATGGAATTATAGAAATATAATTCTGCTGTAAAAGTAGTTCAGCAGATACAAGAGAGGCCTGACACCTGTTGTAAATCATGCAAAGCTGAGATAGTATAAACAGGAGCAACTGAGCAGAATTTATTAATAATAGCACAGGGTCAGGAAGTAACGTTTGATATGACACAATCAAAATGAGATGATACATTCACATATGCTAAAGTATTTTTGACATTAAAAAATAGTAAGGGCCAAAGTCTTGTGTACTAGTTCCAAGTGTACACAGAGAAGCAAAGCGCATACTCTCCAGATGGCGCAACACAACCGCAGTTAAGAAAATGTCAACCAAAAATGGGTTCAAGAAATTCAGTACCTGTTGCAGAGGAACCTTGCACACAGTTTTACAGGCTGTCCAACACCTCAAATAATTTATTACATTTCTTTCAATGGGTCACAACAAGAAGAGAATTTCTAGGAAACCACTAGCTCTTGAACAAGTCATACCAATTTATTTGTCACAAAAAGTATTTTTAGTATGGCAGCCACTGCTGGGTTGGTACAGTGAATATAAGTTAATAATCTGTATTTACTGCCAAGAGGAAGAACAGCTGGCAGGTTGTAATTTTTAATTATCATGCGTGTAAAACAGTCTAAAGAACTGACACAGTCCCAATAACCACATTTTTGCTGAAAAGATATATATAAAAAGACACCTGACTCTCAGACATGCAGTTTAAGTGATCCTTAAGATCACTCCTTCATAATTTATCTTTTCCCATAATACCCAAGTTGCACAGCAGACACAGTCTAGTCATAACCAGTGAGGAAATTTCAACTGGACACCTGCAATCATATCATCTGAGCACACACTGCCCTACTGGGGAGTTCTTCCAAACAAATCAACACCTCAGTGAATCTCTCCAGTAACCAATCAAGAAAGTCAACCACGGACCATCATTTTCTAAATCTGTTTTTACTTATACCTTTCTTAATATCTTCCTGAAATAAATTTAAAAAAAAGACATGTGGTGTTTAAGAGTTAGATTCTACTTCTTAAAATGTAAAATTTTACTTTGGAGTATCACAATTTAATTTTTTTTTAGTATTTTCTTTAATTTAGTTTTTATTTTTAGAAAGAACATAAAAGAAATGAATGATTTACAAAGCTTATTCTTGAATTCAGTGTCCTTGAAGTAATTATTTTTTCTAAGATGTTGTGAGAAAGACGGGGATTCTTTTCACTTCACCCAGAATTAGAATGATAAACAGGTTAATTCTCAGAGCCTGGGTTCTCTGGATCAGTTAGTTTCAGGTAATTTTGCTCAGGCTGAGATGAGTTCTATTGCCTTGGCTCTTTCAAGGTCATTACACTTTCCCTGCTGACCCTACGGAATACTT